CCCTCCCGAAGATTTGGCGCGGCGCCAAGAGAGAATGCTATCGATCGCTACGAGAAGAAGCCCAAAACCCTAGATTGACGGAGGTGCATGTGTCTCACGTTTACCTTTGTAAGGAGACACATACGCGTTACGCGCCACACACACATGGGAAAAAATCGTATGGAGAATGGCCTAGACACTTTCCGTACGCATGGTCCAGCAACAAAGAATTTCATTTCACGCCATTTTTTCTTACCATTGTTGGAAAGAATTTCACCCCGTTTTTTCTTACCATCGTTGGTCAAATAATTTCACCCAGAATTTGTTTTTCTTACCATCGTAGAGCTTTCTTCTTTGGCGAGGATCTCTTTGGCCCTGGCGTGGCCTTTCCGCCCCTCCTTTGCTTTGGCGATGGCGATGGAGTGTTCTTCCTCTTTGGCGAGAACTTCCTTGGCGAGAACATCCTTGGCGAGACGTGAGAGATCGGCCCTGGCAAGAGCCCCTGCTTCAGAGCGCTGGCCTTTGGAGTGGAATCCAAGGCCAGAGGAGTCATCCTGAAAGGCTTGCCAAACTTCCACGTAGTGTTGCTCTTGAGCGAGAACCTCACTTTCTTCGCCTTCTTGCCGGTGCTCGTCTCGCCCGCGTCGGTGTTGCTCTCGGCCACCGCTGGAGAATCGTCGTCCTTGGAGCTCTTTCTCTTCTTGCTGGCGGTGTGGAGCGGAGAAACTGGCGCTTTCCTGTTTATCTTCTTGGAGCCTGCTGGAGATCCGAGCTCCTCCGGAGCAGCAGCAGATGAGACCATCGGGGTCTCGTCCGGAAGAACAATCGCCTTAGTCTCCGCGTTCTTCTTCTTCTTCTTCGGTTTTTCCCCGATGAGAGGAGAGAGAACCATCTCCAGAGGAGGGACTGAAGCACCACCATCGCCATTTTCCTCCACAGCAACCTCGAACTTCTTCTCCAAGTTGGAGACCACCGGGTCATCCTGTTTCACGGTAGCCTCTGGACTTTTCACCTCGGCACTAGCTGGTGCCGCACTGCTGGCTGATTTTTCCATCTTGGAGATCTTGGCACTAGTTGGTGCCGCAATGCTGGCTGGTTTTTCCATCTTGGACGTAGCAGCAGCTGCAGTCGCCAGAGCTTTCAGGTCCAAACTCCTTTTGATCTTCTTAAAGTCCTCGGAGAGAGCGTACAGCACCTTGCGATTTCCCTGTAGAGTGTCCGCTGAAGCTGCGAGCTCGAAAAGCCTCTTTTCCATTGGCAGACTGGTCACGAACTCGGCCAACTTGTTCTCGGACTTGACACTCTCCCTCGCAGCCTCCAAAAGACGATCAAAAACTCCTTCTTTGACGCGCTTCAGCACATTCTTGTCCGGACCAAGCGCAAGAGTTGCATAGAAAGGCTCCAGAAGAATGCCGAGAACTTCTTTCTCCTCCGGAAGAACACCATCAAGTTGCTCCAAGAAAATGTCCGCCAGATGCATACTACACCCCTGGGCCGGGAAGAGATCGTTGGAGAGAAAAGCCCGATTTTTCAAAGCGTCCATGTAGCGCTGGACAATCTCCTTGTCCCATCTCTGCTGCCTGAGTGCCATGAACATAGAACTCACGAACTTCCGCTGGAGAAGATAGAACTTGTCCATCCTCAAATGGTCTATCCCGCCCCATTCTCTCCGCATTGTGCCCAAATACCCCTCAAAGAACTGGAGTGCTAATTCGCTCGGAAGGCGCTGTATAAGCGATGCGAGGCGCTCCGCAAGATCTGCCTGGACAATCGCCTTGTCTGCGTGCCAGTAGCAGTAGAAAAGCCCCTTCCAGATCTTCCTCAGGTCGGCTTCGTCCACGGAAGTCCGGCATTCTAACCAGCTCGCCAGGAGCTCCACTGCGCGATCGCGTACCTTCTTGTCGACCGATGCCAGGCGCCGTGGAAGGCCGCCCGATTGGATTTCCAGCTCGCCGCCTGCCGCCAAGGGCTTGCTCTTGTTCTTCGCGACCATCGCTACGCCGCAACTCTCTGCGAAGAACCCTAAACCTTGAAATCAAAATAGACGGTGCCGTCAATAACGTTCAAAAGTCGGTATATTCTGCTAACATTGTAAATGCCGACTAAACCAATGGTGGATAATGTATGCTTTAGTTAAGCCAGTGGTTTTCTAAGGCTAGGGTTTTCGGGGCCTCCATTCAACGATCAAGCGATGGCGTCGTCCTGGCTAATCTGATCGTCCAATCGCCCAAGACTTCCCAGGCAGCTGGAAATCTTGAAGCGCTGGTAAGGAAATCTCGGGATGAACAGGGCATTGGGGATGGAAACGCTAGCTCCGGGCGCTCGATTGACGCACTGGCGGAACTCCGCAGTTTCTCCAGTCACAAATGCAACATTTCCATCCCGGAAAGCCGCATTTGGCATCGGATTGCGCGCTGGATTGAGCTGCTCGCCGCCGCGCCAGGTCGGATTCATCTCGAGGGATTCCTCGTCCTCCAGGAAAATCTCGTGCTCGTCGGCTCCAGAGCCGTCGACGCCGGCAACAGTGATCGAGGCGGACGATCCGAAATCTCTGAAAAAGCCGCTGGAGGGTGCCAAGCCTTTGCCACTGGCGATCTCGGTCAGTGTGGGGCTGATTTTGAGATTCCTGGTTCCAAAGCCCGCGGCAGTGTCGGCTCAAGCCTGGCAGCTCCTATCGATCTTCTTATCGACGATCACGGGTCTCGTTCTCAGTCCACTGCCGGTTGGAGCTTGGGCCTTCATAGGATTGACAACAACAGTGCTCACACGGACACTATCTTTCGCGTCGGCTTTCAGCGCCTTCACAAACGATGTCATCTGGCTCATCGTCATCTCCTTTTTCTTCGCGAGAGGATTCGTGAAAACCGGCCTGGGTGATAGAATTGCCACGTACTTCGTGAAGTGGCTGGGGAAAAGCACACTGGGACTTTCTTATGGGCTTACTGTGAGCGAAGCGCTCATAGCACCAGCGATGCCGAGCACGACCGCACGAGCGGGGGGAGTGTTCTTGCCGATCATCAACTCACTCTCTCTTTCGGCTGGGAGCCGTCCAAACGATAAATCGTCGTCAAAGCTTGGAGCGTACCTCGTCCAGACTCAATTCCAGGTTTGGTTTCTAACTTTTACGTGATATGTTGGTTTTAAAAGTGTTGGTGGCGCGAAATGCAGGCTGCTGGAAACTCGAGCGCTCTCTTTTTGACTGCTGCGGCACAGAATCTATTGTGCCTGAAGCTGGCAGAGGAGCTGGGCGTTATCGTGGCGAATCCATGGGTGACATGGCTTAAAGTGGCGATCGTCCCGGCCGCTCTATCGCTACTCTCGACCCCGTTGCTCCTCTACAAGTTGTATCCTCCCGAGATCAAAGACACTCCTGAAGCTCCTGCAATGGCTGAAAAGAAGCTGCAGCAAATGGGGCCTGTGACTAAGAGCGAGTGGGTGATGGTTTCGACGATGCTCCTCGCTGTTACTCTGTGGGTTTTGGGGTAAGTTATGGTTTTATCCAGTAATTTGCGATGTCTCACTGGTGATTTTTTTTTTCGCAGAGATAAACTTGGAGTTCCAAGTGTTGTGGCAGCTATGCTCGGCTTGTCAATATTACTGGTTCTTGGCGTCCTCAATTGGGATGACTGCCTAAGCGAGAAATCAGCCTGGGATACTCTTGCGTGGTTTGCAGTACTTGTTGGTATGGCCAGCCAGCTTACCAGCTTGGGACTCGTAAAGTGGATGTCCGACTCCGTCGCTAAAGTCCTGGCCTCGTTTTCTCTCAGCTGGCCTGCTGCATTCGGCGTTCTCCAGGGTTCATACTTTTTGATTCACTACCTCTTTGCGAGCCAAACCGGTCACGTCGGTGCACTCTACTCGGCCTTCCTAGCCATGCACCTCGCAGCTGGTGTTCCTGGCGTGCTGTCAGCGCTGGCTTTGGCCTACAACACAAATCTCTTTGGTGCGCTCACGCACTACAGCAGTGGTCAGGCAGCTGTTTATTACGGAGGTAACTTTGTCATTCCAAAACAAGTGTTTCGTTCTAAACTTAACTATTTCCTGTCTTCGTTCTTGACTTTCAGCTGGATACGTTGAATTGCGGGACATTTTTAAATACGGGGCCATTGTAGCCCTGTGGAACGGCATTGTTTGGACCGTAAGTGGAGCAATATGGTGGAAGATCTTGGGTCTCTACTGAGGCAAGTTGAGCTTCTTCTACTTTTTGAAGTTCTCTGTCTGGTCACTCATGACATTCTTTGGAATAAGTACGAAATGGCGTGAATGCGCAACTCGAAGTTTCTGTTTTCTATCATTTTGCTCGTTCTTTGCATCGGCTGGGAATGATGACAGGTCTCGAGACAGGTAGCAGGATGGAATAAAACGCAATCTCGTAACCCCAGCACAGGTCTACCTTAAAGTGTCTCGTTCTTCTTTTTATTTCTTTTCTACATGACTTCCCATGTTGTATTGCTGCAGTGCCATATAGTGGAGCATGATACCACATTGTGGGTGACGTGAGTGAGGTAAATTAAACTACTGTCCAAAGCTTTCGTATTAAAGTACTGGCAGCAGCGGTAAGAGGTTATTCGTTTCCGAGCTTATCATTGGTTTTTTCAAGTTACAGGCTCAACCAAGGACTGCTCAACTTCAAGGGCGATTTGTTTTTCAACTGAGACCCCTCTTCCCGGCTTCTTGGAGCATGGGAGCGTAAGTCGTAAACCAGGTATGCATGATGGCCGGCTTGGTGACCGTGTTGCTCGCATCCACGACTAAGTTGTGTCCACTCACATACCCAGACTCGTCGCCGGCGAGGAAGAGCGCGGCGTTGGCGATGTCCAAGGCGCAGAGCGGGCGGTTTGGAAGCAGCGAGTTCTTCTTCACAATCTCCACGACCTTCTCCGCCGTCACAGGTAAGTCTCCCATGGTTTCCAGCGCGGTGCTCAAGAACTTTGTTGGTATGGCGTCGGGGGATATCACGTTTACGCGGATGCCAAACTCTCGCAGCTCCACGGCACTGGACCGGACGAGGCCAATAACTCCAGCCTTGCACATCGCGTAGGCGTGAGGCGAGAGGCCCCCGACTATCCCGGCCACGCTGCCCGTGAGGATGATCGAGCCGGCGGCGCGAGGCTTCATGACGCGAGCGGCGTGCTTGAGCGCCAGGAAGTGGCCCCGGAGGTTGACCTGCATGGTGCGCTCCAGCTCGGCCACGTCCGTCTGATCCAACGGCCCCAGCGCGCCCAGGATGCCGGCGTTGCTGAAGACAACGTCTACGTGTCCGGCAATGGAGTGAGCCACGTCCAAGGCGGCGGCCACGTCCGGCTCCGCGGTGACGTCGCAGTGGACGTAGCGAGCAGCGGCCGGGGAGGAGAAGTCCCGCTGGAGCTCCCGCGCGAGGTGGCTGCCGAGCTCGTCCTGGACGTCGGCTATGACGACTTGAGCGCCGTGCGCGACGAAGTGGCGGACGGTGGCGTCGCCGATACCGTTTGCTCCACCGGTGATGATTGCCACTTTGCCGAGTAATCTAGATAACGCAGAGAAGAAAACGAAGAGGTATCAGCCAGGGAGACACGGGGTAACTAAAGGCAAACAAAAACTCGGAACAAAGCAACAGGTGTCGAGAGCGGAAGAATTTGCCAGGACAGGTTCGTTGCTGAGACAAAAGACTCTGCTGGAGGTGGTGTGCTGCGCATTCTTTAACCGAGAATGGGAGGAAGGTATGGTTTTTTTTTTTTTTTGGCAATCAGCTGATGATGATCCTATCTTTCAAGGCACGTTTTTCTTCAGCAGTTTGTGGTTTTTGAGTTTTTTTCTGTGCTTGTATGGATAGATTACTGACCTCTGCTTTTGTGTTGATGTTGCCAGGGAGCGGATGATTTGGAAGATCCTGTCCTTGCTCGCCACGCATCGTCTGCCAGCTCCATTCCTACGACCAAGGCTTCTCCTCAGTCAGGAAACACAGAGCTCAAAGTGCAAGTGCAAGGCCGTGTGTACTCACCAGCTGCTGCGAATCATCGCTGAACACAAGGAAGTGCTCCTAGAGGAAAGAAGGAAAGGGAAGGTTTGCTGGGAGTCAGGAGCAGAGCGAGGGATTTTAAATGGAGGGCGACGAAGGAGGATTTTGGTGGAGAGAGGAGCTCGGAAACGACCAAATCGGGCCTTTTCTGGACAGCACAGGCAGCCGAGCAAGAGATAAATATGGGCGGAGAAAGACGACGACGAAGACTACCGCAAGCAGCAAGATCGAGCACGAACAAGCAAGTTGATGTCCGCTGGCAGGGTCTTGGATTGATCGACGAGATTGTTCTCGGAAACTGGCACTAGGTACTCACTGAGAGCGAAAAGAAGCGCAAGGTACTCCACAACAGCTCAAGCTTATGCTAGGTACGGTCCGAAAGCTTGTTTTTCTTCTGTCTTTATTCCTTGCGTTGCCGCTCGTGCCTCCTATCTTACAGAAGTTCCGCGTGACAGGCAGAATTCGCACAGTACTGTTGTGCTGCTGGTCCCGCTTCCATTCGTCGCTAAGCTGCCATTTGATCAAACCCGACTACCTCAGAGGAAAAGCCAGGGGATGGGGTCCCGGAGTGGCCTTCTTCCGCTGCTTCGCGATTTGATCCAGAGAAGGAGAGGAAGAGGACATGGATAGATGCGACTTGGAAGCTGAGGAAAGATGACGATGACGATGGCGAAAGAGTGGATTCCCTTGCGCCAAGGCGAGAGGCTACGGAAAAGGAGGAATCGCGAGTGGAGCTCTAGGTAGATAAAAAAAAATTCAATTGCGCGACATGTCTCGATCGCTCGGCCATGACGGAAGCCGTGCCAAAATACCTGGAATGTAGCCAGTTTTTGGAAATCCCCGGGCTCTCAAAGTCAGCCACGGGAGGAAAGTCAGTGTGCGTTTGGACCGAATTTCCCCCCATTGCCTAAATTTGCTCCATTTTCTATTTCCCGTTACGAGGAAAAAACAGTTTAAAAAATAAATAAATATGCACTTTAGGAATATACCTACGGCTGCAAGGCATATTCCTTTGAGAATATACTAGGGCATATTTCCGAAGGAATATGCGTGGGATCAATTTCGAAAATCTCAAAACAGGAAGAACAATTGTCGTCTCCAAAGCACAGGAAATCTCTCACACCTATACAATTAAAAACAAAAGAGCATAACTTAAAAGCAGTTCCTGTGGAGATGGAAGAAAACAAAGAAGGCCAAAGAGAGAGAGAAAAAAAAGGAGGGGAGCGGCAACGAACCTCACCCTCTCTCAATCGATCGATCGATCGATCAATCTCGACGCGCGGGCGAGGGGAGAAGAAGCAAAACTTTCGCCACCAAAGAGAGAGAAATGCATCGTCTCCTCGTCTCTCAGCGAGCGTCCTCGGAAGTAAAAGTCTCGGCGAAGCCCGACGGCCGCGGCGGGAGGCTCGACTGCGTGTCGCTCCACACCGCCGCCGCTCCGCCGCCACCGCCGCCGCTGTCCAGCTCCTGCCACCGCTTCACCGCCTGGGGCAGCGGCACGTCCAGGTCGATCCCGCCGCTCTCGTCCTCGTAGTCCACCGGCTTCCAGTGCTCCACCAGCGGCGAGAGGACGTTCACGGCGTGGCCCATGTCCGGCCGCTGGTATGGCTCCCTCGCGGTGCAGTGGCCGGCGAGCTCCGCCACCACGCTGATGCTCGCGAAGTTGTCGTCGGACTCGATGGCCGGGTCGATGAGCTTACGGACTCCCTCTTTGTTGGCGGTGGATCGCCGGAACCACGTTACCAGATGCATGTTTTCTTCCGCCTGCGTCTCGTCCAGCGCCCGCCGCCCCGTTATCAGCTCCATGAGCACCACCCCGAAGCTAAAGACGTCGGCCTTGGTGGTCACGCGCCCGGTAACTGCGAGAGGACGTTAATAACGAACAAAACATGCAGCGTTTTCTCGCAAAATCCTCTGCCGGATCGAGCACGAAAACGAGAATTCCACACGCACGCAGTAGCAGCAGCAGCAGCCCAGGCAGGCAGGCACGGCAGCGAACAGACAGCATAAAAGTAAAGAAGCACACAGCCCAAGCAAGCAGGCGAAAACAGCTGGAAACAGAAGCATTAGACAAAACCGCACGACCAGCCAATGTGCCAAAAGTAAAGAAAGGAATGAAAAGAAGAGGAATACCAACCTGCATACTCGGGAGCCAAGTATCCAAACGTTCCGGCCAGCCGCGTCTCCACCGAGTACTTCCCCTCGGGTGCCAGCTTCACGAGGCCAAAATCCGAGACCTTAGCCCGGAGGTCGTCCCCGAGAAGGATGTTGGACGGCTTCAAGTCCCTGTGGATGAAGCTCCTGTGCGCCAGGCCATGGAGGTACTCCATGCCGCGAGCCACGTCCAGCGCCACGGACAGCCTTTGCTTCCAGTCCAGCGGCGGATAGCCGCACTTGGCAGCCTCGAACAGGTGCTGGCTCAGCGTCCCCTGCGGCATGAACTCGTACACCAGCATCTTCTCGTTGCCTTCGATGCAGTAGCCGAGCAGCGCCACCAAGTGGCGGTGGCGGACCTTGGTCAGAACCGCGATCTCGGCCTGGAACTCGCCCAGGCCTTTGTTGCTGACGACGCAGTTGGATTCCATCCGCTTCACCGCTATGGCCGTGCCGTCATCCAGGACTCCCTTGTACACGACTCCGAATCCCCCACGGCCTAGGATAGTCGCCTCGCTGAAGTTTTTGGTGGCCTCTCGCAGGACGTGGATGGAGATGACGAGATTCCCGGCCTCCACAACTTGAACGTGATCGCTGGGCCCGCTGTTGGCCCGGCTCTGGGTGTCGCTGTTGTCACTGGTGATCATGTTGTTGTTCACCACGATTTTTACCACCTCTGGATCGTCTGAGGAGTTGTCTGTCCGAGGATGGACAACCACCGTGTTGGATCCCTGTAGCCTCAAGAACTTACGTCCCTTCTTCTTGTAAACCAGCAAGCAGATCCCAAACAAAACGAGCAGCAGTGCCACTAGCCCGACCACAACTCCCACGATGGGACCTGCATTCACTCTTTTCGATCGAGTGGTAGCAGTAGCCTGTCCATCCGGCGTCGCAGCTGGTCCCCCAGAAGTCCCCCCCGGCGGAGAAGTCCCTGGAGACGCGGCGGGTGTGAGAGGATTGCCAGCGATGTTGAGCTTCACCGAGGACGGAAAAGCTGGCACTGGCGCCGAGAAGAGGTTGTTGCTCAAGTCCACGGACTGCAGCGAAGGTAGCTTCGCCAGGGACTCTGGAATGAGACCTTCCAGCTTGTTGTCGCTGAGCCTGAGAGTCGTGAGCGTCGTCAAGTTCCCGAGAGCAGCTGAGAGCGTGCCGTTGAGTTGGCTGCTTGCCAGATTGATAACCGTGACATTCGAAGTCGTCCCGGGGGTCGAGCCGCAGGAGATTCCCAGCCAAGCACTGCCGCTGCTGCCGTTGCTACCAGAAGTTCCACAAGGATCATTCCCGATCCACGACGATGTGAGCGAGTCGGGGTAGCCAACGCCAGCGAGAAAGTGCAAGAGCGCTGTCACGTCTCGTGCGCAAGCCTCTCCAGGACTGCTCTTGCAAAAGTTGTTCCGCGCGTACTCGAAGCCGACGGTGTCCTTGAAAACCGGAATCTCCCCCACGAGCAAGTTGTTCTTGACCGTGAAGTTCTTGAGCGCCGGGAGATTCGCGAGCGAGGGAGGAATGGTTCCCGTCAGCTGGTTGTCGTTGAGCTTGAGCTCTTGGAGTGACAGCGCCTCCCCGAGACCCTCCGGAATGGAACCGCTGAATCGGTTCACGTGAAGCCACAGAACTCGCAGAGATTGCATCGTTCCCACGACCGTGATCGGCCCACTGAGCACCGGATTCTGCTGGTTGTTTGCCCGAAACTCCGCCAAATTCGAGGACCCAAAGCTCGAAGGAATGCCCCCAGAGATCCTGTTGTAGGCGACGTTGAGCACCTTCAAGCTCTCCATCTGTCCCAAAAAATCTGGAATGCTTCCTCCCAAGCTCGTGTTGGTGATCGAGAGCGTGGAGAGCAGCGAAGAGTTCTGGATCTCTGCCGGAAGCATCCATCCCCCGGATGACTTGTTGAGAGGATTGTCGTCGAGGTAGATCTCCGTGAGCGCGCTGAGCCCAGTGAAGAAATCGCCAGGGATGGTGTCGAAAGAGTTCCCGGAAAGGAGCGCCGTTTGGAGCTGCGAGAGCCCACTAAGCGATGGTAGCGATCCTGTGAACCCATTCCCCTGGAGCTGGAGGTTCTCGAGATTCTTGAGCTTGTTGAGGTCGGGTGCCACGGTTCCACCCAGCGCCAGCCCTGCTACCTGGAGCGCCGATATGCTCGAGCCCTGGCATTTGATGTGCTTCCAGTTGCTCCCACAGGGATCGCTCCCAGTCCACGAATCCAGTAGCGCCGGATTCTTGACGCCCTTGAGGAAGTTCTGGAGGACCTGGAGCTCTGCCGAATCGGTCTGCGCCAGCGCCATGGCGAGAATCGATGCCACCAGGAGTAGCAGCAATGCCGCTGGATGCTTCTTCTTGAGCTTCATTCTGGGCGAAAGAAATACGATCGACTCAAGAACACGAAAAGAGGGCGCTTGGATGTATCAATGCTGCCATACCTGGCTGGGAAGAGACCTCAAAGATCGATCGCGCGAGCGCGCAGCCCCGAAATATCACGAATCCAAGCCACGACACGCGTCAATCGAAGAACACCGAGCCGAAATATTCGTACCCCGGCTGGGAAAGATCGATCGCGGGTGCGCGCAGCCTCGATGTCGTGACGAAGAAGCGAAATACCACGAATCCAAGCCGCGACACTGCGGTATCGAGCGTCAATCGAAGAACATCGAGCGAAAAATCCGTACCTCGCGAGCGTTCCACGCCTTAGATCGCCGCCAACACGCCAAGCTCCAGCGCCGCGCTTATGATCGCTCTGGCGCCGAGCCGCCGCTGGCAATGCGGCCGGCTCGATCGATGGAAAAGAAAAAAAGATTAGGGAAAAAAGAAAGAGAGAAAAGAAAGCACAAAGAGCGTGCGGTGTTCTACACTAGTACACAACTGGCACGAACGCGGGATGGGATGCGAGAAGCGAAGAACACCAAAAAGAAAGATTGGCGATCGATGAGCTAGACTCCACTAGCGGCCAACACGAAAAAGACAAATCGCATGTTACTAGCAGTGACAAGGTCGGCGCTGCGCAGTGCTCGCTCGATTTCTTCGCCAATCCCTCCGAAAACCTCTGTTCTATTTTATCACCGATCGATCGATCGATCGCCTATGGCGCCGCGGCCATGGGGCAAAATAATCGATCGATCGAGCGAGCTATTTAATCGCTCGCGCAGAGAGGGAGAGAAGAATGCGAGCGCCGCAAGAGGACAGATCGATTGATCGTGCGCGCCAGCAAGCTACTGCTCGGTCAAAACCCTAGTCAAAGAAAGATGCTCGGGAATATGCCCCTCCACGGCCGTTTGAGGAGGTTTAAACTCGAGGATTGCCGGCTTTTATGGTACACACGACTTAAGCACGGCAGTCCATTTAATTCTCCACGGCAAGCCACAGCCGTGTTTCGTGAAGTTTGAGAGAAACTTTGATCGATTTTCGAGCTGGATCCTGGAACAAAGAGTGAAGACGTGAGAGATTTCAAGGTTTTCCGTCCCAAACCATTAAGAAAAACATACCAAAACTAGAATTTGATAGTGTTCCAGCTCTCGAATCGTTTAGAATTTGATCGTGTTAATCATTTCTTCATACTTCACATGAAGTTTGAGAAAAACTTTGATCGATTTCGAGCTGGATGGATCCTGAAGCGAAGTAGAGACGAAGATTTGAAGATCTTTTCTGCTAAACCAGTAAGAAAAAAATACCAGAACTAGAATGTGATCGTGTTCCAGCTCTCCCATCGTTTCTTTGGCGCCATACTTCACGGCAGTGATCGCGAAAGCACCTAAACATCGCTGATAGAAATTAATTTCATCGAGAAAAAGACACCAGGAACTTAAAACTTACGAGGATCGGTGTTGCAAGGACGAGCGCAGCTGCAAGAACAAACATGTCAGCAGCGACACAAAACCAAAAGAGAAAAGAAACAAAACAAAACGTGGAAAAACGTGATTGTCGAAAGAGAAACAACTCGTACAGGATGAAAAAGCTGCGATACCAAGAGAAATTGTCACCGCTGGAGGAGGAAAAAAATCGACAGGAACTTACAGAGTGATCGATCGATCGTTGTCACAGGAAGAAAATGACGAAGGCAATAAGAAAACCAGCGAGAACAGTGTACTTGAGGCCAGAGACTATAATCGCCGCGGTGACTAGGAGGAGTTGCCAGCTTATTTGTAGGACGGCCAGTCCCAGGAGGCCAGTGAGAACGAGCGCGAGCGCATTATCCACGCTTGGTTCCAAAAGTTCTCCCCATTTTATCTCCAAATCCTCGAGCCCAGGCGCATCGGCTTCTCTATCGATCGACCCAGTCAAGGAACCCCAAAATCCTTGGTAGCCTTCTTCCTCTTTCTTTACTTCTTCTTCTACCTGTTCTTCACCGGGAGGCTCGTCCTGCTTGTTGGATTTCCAGAAGCTCGCGAAGAATCCAGAGCGATTTTTCCTTGTCTCGCCTGTTCTAGCCGGAGATTTCGCTTCTTCTTCTTGTTCTTCCGATTCTTCTCCTTCTTCTTCGTCTTTATCGGAATCACCGTCTTCTCCCGCTCTAGCGACTAGACGACTACTGCGAAATCGAGAAATTCCAGACCTGAGATTCACGCGCCGCGATTGCGCGCCCAACCGGAGGGCCAGAGGAGCACTCGATGCGTCCTGCCGTGCGCGAAGAAAGCCGCTTGGAAGAGGAGCTCGCGCAAGCCCTACATTCATCCTATTCCAGTAGATTTAGGGCTTATGGATAATTTGGAGGGAAAGAGTATGTGAAATCTAGGGCTTATGGCCGTGGTGTCCGCGAGGCTACAATGCGCTCGCGAGGATCAATTCGCGAGGGACTCCTCGGATCATCTGGCGAGAAGGCAGCGCCCAGGCAAGGCGCGCACGGTTCCGAGGATCGATGCTGCGGAATCAAGCAGGGAAGCGTTGCGCATTGCGGTGGATCGGCTGGAGCGATTGTCGAGCGAGGAGGAGGAGGAGGATCAGACCGGCACTTGCGTTTCACTTCTCAAGCTGTGCGGGGATTCCAGAGCGCTGGCCGAGGGCCGCCGCCTCCACGCTCACATCGAATCAGGGTCTGGCGTCCCATCGCGGCACAGGACAATGCTCGCGAATCTCGTCGTCCGGATGTATGGCAAGTGCCGGAGCATCGACGAGGCAAGGAAGGCTTTCGAAGGAATCGACGAGCGGGATCGAGATCTCTTCTCGTGGAACATGATGATCGCGGCATTTGCCGAGAACGGGCACCTGGAGGGAGCTCAGGAAATCTTTGAGAGGATGCCAGTAAAGGATGTGGTGGCTAGAACAGCCATGGTGGCCGCGCATGCGAATTGTGGGAGTCTAGAGGACGCAAAGAACGTTTTTGATAGCATGCCAGTTCGCGACGTTGTGGCATGGAGTGCTATGATCACGGCATTTAGCCAAAGAGGGCATTGTCGCGAGGCACTTCACACTTACCGGACCATGGATCTCGAAGGGATGAAGCCCAACGACATAACCTTCATCAGCGCTCTAGATGCTTGCGCAGGTATGAAACTTTGCTACCTCATTGTTGGTCTTTCTTTCCTTCTTTTAGTTTTCATTCTTTGCTTGTTTCTGGCGCTTCTTTGTGCTTGTTGTGAAAGCTGATCTGGTATTGTCCTGATAATGATTTTAAGAGTTTGTGGCTGCTGCGCATCATTGTTGGTCTGTTTTTCCTTCTTTTAGTTTTTATTCTTTCTTCTTGCTTGTTTCTGGCCGCTTCTTTGTATTCGTGTTGCTTGTTGTGAAAGCTGGTCTTGGAAACTTGTCCTAATACTGATTTTTAGATTTTGTGGCCTTCCAGGATTGACATCTATAGCCGAAGGAAGAGTCATTCACGCAAACATTCTCCAGACCGGCTTTGAAACCAGGCTCAAAGTTTCGACTGCTCTCGTCAACATGTACGGGAAATGTGGGAGTGTAGAGTCCGCAAAACAGGTTTTTGACGGCATGAGTTCTAGAAACTCGTATACTTGGACAGCAATCGTGTCGGCCAACGCTCAAAACGGGTACTACGAAGGAGCGGTGGTAATGTTCCAGACGATGGAGCTCGAGGGTGTTAAGCCGGATGGGATCAGTTTTATCAGCTTGCTCTACGCTTGCAGTCACGGCGGTTTTCTCGGCACTGGAAAGCAGTATTTTTCTTCGATGAAAGCCGACTATGGAGTCCCGCCCTCTCACAGCCACCACGAGTGCGTGATGGATTTGCTGGGACGAGCAGGGAGGCTGGAAGAAGCAGAGCTTTTGATCGAGAAAATACCATCTACGGGGCATGTTTTAGCTTACCGGACTTTACTCGCGGCGTGTAAAATTCACAGAGACGTTGAGAGAGGAGCAAGAGCTGCCGAGAAACTCTTCGTGATCGACTCCAAGAATCCATCTCCATACTTGCTGCTGATGAATATATACGCCGCTGCTGGACTGTGGGACTTGGCAAGCAAAGTGAGAAAAGCTCTCAAAGAAAAGGGACTGAAGAAGGAAGCAGGCTGTAGCTGGATTGTGGTGAAGAGCAAGGTGCACGAGTTTACAGCTAGTGGTGGAAGCGATCATCCCCGGAAAGAAGAGATCTACGCCGAAGTTCACAGGCTCGAGAGTGAAATGCGTAAAAGATATGGATACAAGCCGGATACCAGCGCGGTGATCTTTGACGTTGATGAGGAGGAAAAGGAACAGAGGGTGCGGTTCCACAGCGAGAAGCTAGCCATTGCGTTTGGGATAATCAGCACTCCAAACGGAAGCCCGCTGACGATCATGAAGAACTTGAGAGTGTGTGCCGATTGCCACACTGCAACGAAGATGATATCTCTGATCGCTGGAAGAAGCATCCGTGTCAGGGACGGTAACCGGTTTCACCAAGTGAAGGACGGAGTGTGCTCTTGTCGAGATTACTGGTAATTCGATCTACACTTCTCTCTACAACTTCCACCGCCAAGCCTCGAAAACGGAAGGCTGCACTTTGAGGTAATGATGATGGTTTTACTTCTTCTCTAATATCCATGTTTATCAGGTTCGAACAGTGATTTGATTTAAACGTCGAGAACTACATTATGTACAAGTTTCCAAGCTCCAAGTCATTGTCGGGTAAGCTGACTTTGTTTTTCTCGGTGACCTGATGCTCCTAAGTTTTTATTTTTTCTCTCTCCCTCTAGGACCATGGCGCCTAGAACACCCAAGAGCGTTGTTAAGGTGGATGTAACAAAGCAGCCATGGGAGCAAGACAGTCCTCTTCACAACAGATGGCATCCAGACATTCCTCCAGTTGCTCAGGTTTCGGTAGAGGAGCTCTTCAGAGTAGAAACAATAGATTGGACTGGAGGCCAAATTCTAGACAATGATTCTGCCGAAGATGTGAAGAACATGGACTTGTCCAGGGTAAGCATTCAAGCTTTAGTCGTTTGTTTATCTTTCTGTTTGTCTTCCAGGTGCATTATCTGAGTGGGCCGATCCGAGTTATGGACGAGGCTGGCAAGCCTGCAATCCCTGGTGACATTCTCGTGGTTGAGATATGCAACCTTGGACCACTTCCAGGAGACGAGTGGGGATTCACTGGAACTTTCGACCGAGAGAATGGTGGTGGATTTCTTACAGACCATTTTCCTTCCGCCACCAAAGCAATCTGGCACTTTGATGGCATTTTTGCATACTCTCGACACATTCCAGGTAAAAAGAGCTGAAAGTTTTGTCTAACTAGTGTTTCTTCCTCATTTTCTGGACGACAGGGGTTCGTTTTCCAGGACTGATTCATCCGGGACTTATTGGCACCGCGCCGTCGAAAGAACTATTAGATATCTGGAACAGCCGCGAGCGCTTACTTGTAGAAGAAACTCCGAGCTTGACACTCTGCAGTTCACTTCATACTCGGCCACTTGCGAACTTGCCTCTAGCAAAAGGAGCTCTTCTTGGAAAGGTTTGTTCTGTTTGAATTAGATCTCTTTTATATATTGTGATTTGCTTCGTTCTCGTAACAGATTCCTCCAGGCTCTTCCCAGTGGCAAGCAATTGCAAATGAGGCTGCAAGAACGATCCCGGGAAGAGAGAATGGTGGCAACTGTGATATAAAAAACCTGAGCAGGGGCTGCAAGGTCTATTTCCCAGTGTTTGTGGAAGGAGCAAACTTAAGCATGGGAGACATGCATTTCTCTCAAGGCGATGGCGAGGTCTCTTTCTGCGGAGCAATCGAGATGAGTGGCTTCCTCGAGCTAAGGTCCGTTAATCTCGAAACTTCATTTTTCAAACTTTTGATGTTTCCAGATGTGAGATTCTTCGCGGAGGAATGGAAAGATATATGACTCCAATCGGGCCGACAAAGCTCCATGTCCATCCTTTGTTTGAGATCGGCCCGCTGGAGCCAAGATTCTCAGAGTGGCTAGTTTTCGAGGGAGTGAGCGTGGATGAGTCTGGCAAGCAACACTTTCTGGACGCGAGCATTGCCTACAAACGAGCAGTCCTCAACGCGATACACTACTTCTCAAACTTTGGATACTCTAAAGAGCAGGTAAAATCAAGCTGGTTTTAGAACTTCTTTGTGACAAATTTGTTCTACCAGGTCTATTTGCTTCTCTCCTGCTGCCCGTGCGAAGGACGCATCTCTGGAATCGTGGATGCTCCAAACGCTGTAGCCACTCTCGCCGTCCCTACAGCCATATTCGATCAGGTTGGAGCTCTCTTCTAAAGTTTCCTTTTTCTCATTTCTCTTCGCACAGGATGTTCGTCCCAAGCGAGGCACTCCAAGCGCTGCTCGTGTGATCCAGCAAGCCAACGTTCCCAAATGCGTCTACGAAGGCAAACTTCCCATCACCAAAGTTCTCTCGCTGGAATAAGAAAAGAGAAGAAGAACCAGTAGAGAATCTACTGTGAAACTTCCGTGGAAGGTCGTGAGAGCGTTAGACCGTGTCATACCCGATTATAGTACCATCAAAAAATATGGAAGAGTCTAACCATGCATGAATAGTAATAAGTTTAATAAGTTTAATTGTCAAGTTTTTACTAAATTTTAAATTTTATTATTATTAAGACTTTAAAAAGTTTATTAATATTTATTATTGACAATAAGTCCTCCTTTCCCTGATTAACTCTTTGCATGCATTTGGATGGGCTGGGTTGCTCTTCTTTTGAAAATGGACTGGAGCTTTTTCCATTGTGGTGGTGTCGATCAAATCTCCAGGACGAGGAGCAGCAGTAGCAGCAGCACCACCGAGAGATCCCACCACGGTATTGTAATGCTCGCTGGTCTCCCTCATTCCTCCAATCACCACCACCACTCCTCCTCCCCGGAAGAACTTTCGAGTAGCGCTTTGATCGCTACTCACTCCTCCTGATCACTCCTCCTGGTCCCTGGGATGTGAATCCATCCGGAAAACGATCCAGCATCCGGAAAAGTGACGAGATCCAGCATGCGTTCCAAAGTTCCCAGAGAAGGCCCGGCCTGGGTGGACGAGTTCCTGTCCGGCGACTACTTCACCAGCTGCAACTTCCACACCGGCGGCAAGAACGAGCGCAACCAGTTCTGCACCGAATGCTCCGGTAGCGGCCCCCTCTGCCAGTTCGGCCTCCTCACCTCGCACTCGGGCCACCGGACTCTCCAAGTCCGCAAGGCCTCACACATGGACTCCATCCGGGTCGTGGACATCCAGCAGTGCCTCGAGGTCTCGGACATCCAGACGTACTCCATCAACAGCGCCAAGATCGTCTTCCTGCTCAGCCGTCCACAGCCCCGTCCCAGCAAAGGAGCTCTGCACGCCTGCCTGTGCTGCAACCGGGCTCTCTCGGACGACGTCAAGTTCTGCTCGCTTGCATGTAAGCTGGACGTGCTGAGGGAGCAGCCGGAGGACAGATCCATCACGTTTGCATTGCCGGCCGATGGGGAGGGCGCTGGAGGTGGCGCTGGAGGTGAAAAGGAGCAGCGGCAGCAGCAGCTCGAGGAAGTGGAGCAGAAGTTCTCGTCAGCTGAAATGGTTTCCACCAGCGAGCAGCAGCACAATCTGCAACAACAGGAACAACACCAACAACAATGGCAGCAAAACGGTGAGCTCGGGATCCAGCAAAAACCAGCGAAGAGGAAGAGGCTGTCCAAGAGGAAGAAATGGACAGAGAAGAAGGGGATCAGGAAGAAGCAGCCTACCAAGTTGCTGCTTCCAAAGATCCGCAATCGACTGCTGCTCGAGGAGGAGAATGGATCCGGCTGCTTCAAAAGGAAGAACAGTGAGGCATTCCAGGATTCGCCCACCACACCTGAAAAGTTCGAGTCAATTTCCACTGCGAAAGCTCGATGCAGAAAAGGCGTACCTCGTAGAGCACCGATGGGGTAGTAGCCTGGATCATCGATAGAGAATTCAAAGTGCTCGCTGGATGGATCAACCTTGAAACGGGCATAAGTTCCACAGGTACTTGTAAACTTTCTTGGAATGTTTTCCTGTTCTTTCGTTAGAAAAGAGAAAAACAAACTAAACCATTAGCCTGTGAAGAAGCAAAAAAAAATTCTGTGCAGATCAAAGAGCGCACGTTATGTGAATAACAATAGTTTTTTTTCAGAGGTTTGAAGCAAACTGGCATCGAATGACTCCAAACAAATGCGCTAGCTGTCTGTAACTACATATATGAGTGCTTAGCTTATTTTGTCCCTACTGGAAATCGTGCTGCTTTGCTTGCGAATCATGGTTCGTTTGCTGGGATTTATTATGGCGAGAGGGAAGTTACCGGATCATCGCAGCTCCGATTTTCTTATCCCATTTATGATCGTCTCCAAGCGTCCGCTCTCATGAGCTTCGACAGTGTCTGCAACGCACAAACGCCAGTGAGTGGAAAAAAGCACGCGACTAGTTTGCACGAACTCTACGTGCCAACCATCCTAGAGGCGACGAGAAAAAAATGTACCATCAGAGCCACCGATGTGTTTACCACCAACGAAAACTTGTGGAACAGTGCGGCGTCCCACTAGGCCTTGCAACGCTTCCTGGATCTCGTCTCCATCCTCTAAGAACACCAATTAAAAAACACTGAGAACATCCAGTACGAAAGAAAAAAAAGAATTTTTCCGAGTACCTCTTAGATCCAGCTCAACGACATGGGGAGTTTCATTCAAGCTCTTGAAAACCGACTTAGCTCTCCGGCAATAGCTGAGATTTCCAAGGGACAAGCGTTAGAGACCCCTCCCCACAGCTCGATCGACATAGAATTGAGAACTTACGGGCAATAAGACTTGGAAAAAATCACGATGTCGTGATTATCGATCGTGCTCTTCACAAACGAAGGCGCCGACGATCCATCCGCCGCGCGCGTCACGGCGAGCGCCACAATCCCGCACAGCACCACCGCCGGAAACCCCATTCTCCTCATCCTCGCTGCAGATAAACCCTAAAAACCGGTGACCTAATTCCCGCTCTTGCATTGAATATTCCCACATAAAACCCTAAACTTTTCTTCACGTTTCACCATCTCTTTCTTTGTCTTGCTCTTCCTTGTACTTATAGAATCGCGCACACACGAGGAACAACGCAAAGTTCACAGCATTGAGGCATGCGAGAAGCCAGTAGTAGTAATCGAGATGCCACTGCCAGCTCTGGTGGAGCCAATTCGTGGACGATCCCACGATGGAATTGAGCGCGGTCGCCGAGAAACTCCCAATCGCGGCTGTGAATGGCAGCAGCGAGCTTCCAAAGCAGCGCATCCCTTCCGGTGCCTGGCTGTAGAAGAGCTCGATCAATCCAATCGTCCCGAAGATCGACGCGAGACCATACATCGAGAACGGGATCGTGAGCAAGAACGCGGAGAATCGCGCCCTCTTGGATTCCGCCCTCTTGTGCTCCACGAATCCGGCGACGATCATGGTGAGCGTGGATAGAAAGAGCCCAATCCCGATTCTTTGGAGATGCGTGGTTCCGCGAGGATTTCCAGTGAGCTTTCGCATCGCTGGGACGTAGACGAGCTCGTAGAAGGGGATGGCGATCATGACGAACACCGAGGAGAGAAACGGGACGGATGGAGCTGGGACCTGAATGGATTTGGAGAGGCTCCTGTCCATCATCAGGGCCTGGACGGTGGAATAGTTGAGGAGCACGACGACGGTGCTCATGAGGAGCATCGTGGTGGCGCAGATTGGCAAGAGCCGGATCATCGCCTTGAGTTCCTCGACTTGGGTCACCGTGCACAGCGTCCACGATCCCTCCACTTCGTGATCCAGGCCGATCTTCACCGCGGCCTTGTCGAGAAATCTGGAAGAACGAGGTTAAACCTTTGAAGAGTTTCAAGGAGATGGAAGTTTGATGAAGATATAGAACTTGTAGCGAAGATAGAAAAGATTTGAGAGAGTTGGCAAGCAAAGGCCTACGATCTTTGAGAGTTTCAAGGAGCTCGAAGACTTTCAACTAGCAAAGATGAGAGAGTTGGCAAAGATCTTAGATTTGAGAGAGTTGGCAAGCAAAGATCTTTGAGAGTTTCAAGGAGGTAGAAGCAAAGATCTTGGAGGAGATGGGAATGAAAAGCTTGCCTTAGTCCATCGGTATGCTGGATCTTGCTACTCCCCGGGATGGCGGACATTCTTCCAGGAACTTCGTAGAGCAAATTCACATCTTGCGGCAATTCCAGCTTCCTCTTTCGATACGCGGACACGATCACTTGGAGGAGCCTCGTCACTGGGCTCCCGCTCGGCCGCTTTTGCTTGTAGAAGGGCGTTCCAGCGAAGAACAATGCGTTCCCGGCGGCCATGGCGATGGCCAGGGTGGTGAGCCCCCAGTTCCAGCCGAATTGGACCTGGATGTAGACGACGATCGTGAGCGCGAGGACGAATCCCAGGTCGAGCGTCATGTAGAGGGAGCTGAAGAACATGCCGAGGTTCTTCTTGTCGCTGGGGTTGCCTCTGTCGAATTGATCGGCTCCAAAGACAACGATGTTGGATTTGATCCCCCCAAAGCCAATCGCGACGATGAGCAGCGAGACGTAGAGGTATCCCATCTGGAAAGCTGTGGCCTTCTCGTCTAGGCATTGTTCAGCGTCGTGCTTGCAAATCCTTGGAGAGAGTGGAGCTACCACGGCTCCAGCAGCCAAGAGAATGAGTCCCTGGAAGTATGATCGTTCCATAGGTGAGATCCAGGATCAAAGTTTGCAGGCGAGACGAAGAACTATCAGAAAAAATCAAACCTTTGCTAGTTGCTAGAGACGAAAACTTATCAGAAAAATCAAATCTTTGCTAGCGAAGTTGCTAGAGACGAAGAACTATCAGAAAAATCAAATATTTAGCACTAGCGAAGTTGCTAGAGACGAAGAACTATAGGTTGCTTTGATAGCAAAGTTGCTAGAGACAAAGAACTACCAGAAAAATCAAATCTTTGCAAGAGAGGGAGATGAGAGATCGGAGAACCTAGCTTGAACTTACCAGGAGGTGGACGATCGAAAAGATGGCGATGGTGGCGTATCGGCCAAGGTAAGCGTCGGCGAGAAATCCCCCAAAGAGTGGCGTGGTTCCACAAACTCCAAAGAACACTGTGATGATCGTGCTCGCTTCCAGGGGTGATTTGTGCATCACGTCCATGAGATACGAGACGAAGCTCGTCGCAAAGGTCGTGAAAGCCATTCTCTCGGCAACTTCACTGCCTGTGGAGAAAATAGAAATCTTTTCCTCGGTTAGAGACTAAGGGATCGTTTTTTCGTGAACTTACCAAGAACGAAGACTGCTGCAAACCATCCTCCTCTCTCGGCCATGGCGTTCTTCGAGTAAACATTTTAGAAGTTTCTTTCCCAAAGTAAACAGCGTTTTAAACTGGTGGAGAACTTGGTGAGGACCGTCGATCGACCTGGAGAAGCATCGGAGTCACAGCCCCGAGATTGCTTCACTTGATCATGCTTCGTCGAAGCCGAAACTTTTTTGCAACTTTGGACGGTCCCTGGAAATCTAAGAGCGTGATAGGCGAGCAAAAGGACAATGGCAACTCACGACAAGATCGAGAGATTGTTGTCACAGCTCATATCTAGTGCTCATCACGCGTAAACAGGCAAATAGCGCCAACCAAATCCTCTTGGAACATCGCGGTGCGAATGGAACAAGTCCATTTGGCTTTAAGTTGTTTTAGTTGGTTTTAGTTCTTCGGCTATGGCGGCAGCAATCGCCGCCGCCGACAAATGGAGACCCGGGTTTTGCTTACCACGCAGCAAAAAAGCTGGCCACGGCAGAGGGCGGAGCTGCATTGTGGTCACTTCGTCAGTGTCACCGATTCCAACGGTGTTAGTCGCCGGGGCCGGAGGAAGAACAGGTACTTAGAGGAAGTTCTCAATGTTCTTGAGGAGTTTCTTACACTCTTGCGGAACTTCTTTGTGCTCTTTCCTCTGGTCTGAGTTCTTATGGAAGTTCTTCCACTCTCTCTCTCTGGACGTTCTTACACACGCTCTCTCTTTCTGTAAGTTCTTACGCTCTTTGTGGTCCTTTTACATTCTTCGTCCAGGAAGTTCTTAAGTTTTTTGTGGAAGTACTTGTACTCTTTACTGGAAGTTCTAGATTCTTAACGGGTTTTCTTACACTCTTTTCTGAAAGTTCTTACTGTCCTTCGGTTCTTTACGCTCTCACAAGATAGAATAAGTTCATATACAAACCTTTAGTGGAGTTTCTTACACACTGCTTTTGTTGAAGCTTCTTACACACTCGGCTGTTCACAGGAAGGCTAGTTTTTGACAAGTTGAAACAGCGGACGCAAGAGTTTTCTGCTCGTGGACTCGTTCGATCGGTCGAGAGCAAGCAGAAGATCAATGGTGGAGACGATGTTTTCATCGGGGATATTACCAAGCCCGAGAGCTTGTCCGATGCATTCGCTGGAGGAATTGATGCTCTAGTCATTCTTACCAGCGCCGTGCCCAAGATAAAGCCCGGGTTTGATCCGAGCAAAGGTGGTCGCCCCGAGTTTTACTTTGAGGATGGTGCTTTTCCTGAGCAGGTAACTCTTTGTTACTTTTGCTTTTTTCACTGCTGGAGTAAACTGTGATGCTTGCTCTCAGGTGGATTGGCTTGGACAAAAGACGCAAATTGATACTGGTAAGCACGAAACTCAAAGTTTTCAAAGTTTTCCATCGATGATTTTGAGCAGCGAAGAGTGCTGGAGTAAAACAGATTGTTCTCGTCGGCTCAATGGGAGGGACTGACGAGAATCATCCTCTCAATTCTCTAGGAAACGGGAAAATCCTGGTAAGGAAAAACATATTTTTCTTCAACAAGAGTTTTACAAAAAAGCTTTTTGTAGATCTGGAAGAGAAAGGCAGAGGAATATCTTTCAGAATCAGGCATTCCTTACACGATAATCAGGTGAAAGTTCATGAAGAAAAATCAATCCTGTGGTGCTATCATCAAGCTTCTTCGTTTTGTTTCAGAGCTGGAGGATTGCTAGACAAAGAAGGGGGTGTTCGAGAGCTTTTAGTTGGGAAAAATGACGAGCTCTTGAAGACTGACACTAAATCTCTTCCCAGATCGGATGTGGCGGAAGTTTGTATCCAGGTTCGTCAAAATTCCGCTCAAAAAGTCTTTTTTGTTTTTGTTCCATCTTGTTCTCAAAGAATTTAAGCTCGACTTCCAGGCATTGCTCTTCGAGGAAGCGAAGAACAAAGCTTTCGATCTCGCCTCTAAGCCCGAAGGCGAAGGAGCTGCGACTAGAGATTTCAAGTCGTTATTCTCTCAAGTCTCCACAAAGTTTTGATTAATCCCTGTTTAGTTTTAAGCAAAAATGAGATTAGACAAGGTCCCGGGTTCGATCTTTCTAGTTGTTAGGGTTCTTCCATTTCCCGTATCTCGAGTCGAGGGAATGGAATTTTGGCACAGGGAACGCATGGCGTAAGCTGCCGCGCCCGGCCGCCGCAGGTGCTATCGAAATCCGCGATGGAAGTCTCCTCCTGCGGCTTCAATCCGTGCTTGAATCACAGCCTGCTCGATTTTGGGCCCAGGAAGGGGCAGCGGTGCCAGGTTCTAGGGCACAGAAAATGCAGCTCTCGCGCCGCGAGCTCTTCCGGTTCTACCGTGTTTTCGATCGATGAGAGAAGGCGCAGGGGATTCTCCAAACCCCATTTCTTGTCGTTCGTTGAGCCTGGAGGGAATTTCACCTCTGCTGTGATTTTCTCGCGGAGCAAGAGGAGGCGCGCATTTTCTGGTAAGTTCTTGCTCAGCCTTTCGTGATTCTTTTGTTCTCGTACGAGTCTTTCTCGTTTTTTTGGTTCTTGTTGTGTTCGTGAAGTTAGCCGTGTTGTTGCTTGGTAGTCTTTGTGTGTTCTTGGCTAGCGGAAAAAGGAATTTTCTGTTCTTCTTGGTCATGAAAAACTTGTTCATCGTTGAGCGTTGCATTCTTGGAGAACTTTCTTCCATGATCTAAACGGTTAAAAAATTCTCTCAGGTTCTCTGGTAGTCCGAGCAGCACAGAACCAATCCAACGATCCCTCCGACGAGAAAGAAGAAAAAGAAGGCCCGGAGAACTCCTCCGACTCCCAGGGCACAGACTGGCGAGCATTCCGCGCGAGGCTGATCGCCAACGAGCGATCCATCGAAGAGCAGGACCAGCCCAGCACCTCGGACGCCTCCAAAGCTCCGGAGAACTTCGCAAAGTCTCTTGGGGCTTGCTGGGCTCATCCCATCCTCAAGCCCGAGGCCGGCTGCGTGCTCATCGCCACGGACAAGCTCGACGAGCTCTCCATCTTCGAGCGGACAGTGATCATCCTCCTCAGCGCCGGATCCAGCAAAGGCAACGAGGGACCCTTCGGCCTCATCCTCAACCGGCCTCTCCCTCACGTCCTCAAAGACATCCGGCCACAGGACCAAGCTCTCGCCGAGGCGTTTGGAGAAAGCCAGGTACACTTCGGTGGTCCGCTCGTCTCGGACTTGATCCTGCTGCTGCAAGGAGCCAGCGCCAGGAAAGGCTACCAGGAAGTAGTTCCAGGGATCTTCTACAGCTCGGCCGAGGGACTGGATCAGGCAGTGAGTATGATCAAAGACAAGGCCTCCGGCGCCGAGGACTTTAGATTCTTCTTCGGCTACGCCGGGTGGGCGATCGGGCAGCTCGAGAGAGAAGTGGAGGATGGATACTGGTGCGTTGCGGCGTGTAGCACGAATCTCTTCATCTCCGGCTCGGCTGCTAATCTCTGGGAGGAGGTGTTGAAGCTCATGGGTGGGCAGTACGCGGAGCTTAGCAAGAAGCCCAAGAAGCGATGGTTTAAGTGAAGCTCCTTCGTGCCAATAAGATGGATCTCTTCGAGCTCTTCGTCAAGAAGGGAAGCTAAAGAAAGCTCTCCGTTTCGCTGTAAGAGATAAGTGGAAGTTAAAGTTTTAAGTGGCCTAAGAACCCTAAAGTGCCAGCAAGAGCCCTACATTTATTTTAGGGCTCCTAGCGATGACGAGGACGCGGGAGCGCGCGATCGCGAGGTCAGTGGCAGGATCTAGCCTCCTCTTCACCAGAAATCAGCGGCAAATGCGCATGGTGGTGAAGAGCGCCATGGCGCAGCGGCAGAGAAAGAGGGCGAAGCGCCGGAAGAGCAGTGTGGATCTCCTCCCGGGGCTCATCCACGACGTGGTCTACCAGCAAATCCTCCCGCGGCTGCCCTGGTACCAGCGCCCCGTGATGACGGCCGTGTCCAAGCTCTGGCGCGCCGCGATGGAATCGCTCAATGCTGAGTTGGGCGCCCGGTCCCGGGAGCTCCAGGATCTTCCCAGGGGCGTGGTGCTGCTCTTCAATGCCGGGAGTGGCAGCGATGGGATCTTCCAGCAGCAGAGTTTTTTCGAGCTCTTCGACTACTCGACCGGGACTTGGCACGAGCTTCCTCCACTGCCGGATCGCTCTCCCGAGGAGAGCGTGGAGGAGTGCTTTTGCTTCGAGCGGTGCATATACGGGATTTGCAAGGGGGAGATCTACAAGCTAGATCTTCCAGCCGGGATTTGGAGGTGGGAGAAGCTCACCACCAGGACGAGGATCAATGGAGGGGTGGCGGTGGCGTTTATGGAAGATGGGATGCTCTACCTGAGTGGGAAGCGGGCGGAGGTCTTTGTGCTGGAGAAGCACGACTTGGCCAACCGGTGTGCCAAGTCGATATGCGTCCAGTTGGTCGGCTTCTCCGGCCTCGCGGCGCAGAAGGGCGACGTCAAGTCTCTCTTTGAAGGCTTCTCCGACTGGAACCGAGTGGCCGGGACGCTGGCGTTCCTCTTCCAGATCAAGCCGCTCAACATCAGCCGGAGCTGCACGGCCCCGGCGTTTGTGTCCGAGAGGAAGTTCTTGGTGGCGACGAGGAAGTGCTACCTGGAGCTCCACGACTTGGACACTGGGCTGCTCGACGAGATCAACGTCCAGCGCAAGCTCAGGCTGGTTGTCTCGCACACGATCGTGGCGCTGGCTTACCACGGGGGCGTGATCTACGTTTTGATGCAAGTGGACAAGGGGAGCCATGCGAGCTTTAGCCTGTGGAGGGGCGAGGCTTGTGGAGATTCTCTGTCTCCGGAGCTTGGGAAGTTCGAGTGGAAGAGGGCGCCATGTCCGCTCAAGTTTGGAGATCACTGCAACAAAGCTAGCCTGCAGATCTTGTCCTGAGAGAGCCTCTCTCTTCTCCAACAGGTAAGAGACTTTACTACTCCAGGAATGCTTGATTTGCCAAAGTGGCATCTTCGAGCAGCCTCTCTCTTTTCGAAAATCGGGCAGCAAAACCTGGGCATGCTCACGATCAACGAGAACTTCCTTTATTCACCGATCTCCGTAGGGCTCGTTTTCTTTTAATGCTTTAAACCTGGGAAGCGTTCTCATAACTTTGTTGCATTGATCTCCAAACTGGGATTGGAAGAATTTTTGGATCTGTTTCTCCTTTTTGGTTTGGTTAAGCAAGTGAATATAGTTAAAATATTCTTGGATATTCTAGAATATTTTACCATCTAACTGTTGTTATTCATTTAAATTAATCTTTTATAATTTATAAACATGTTTATAATTTATAAATTTTCTTAAACACTTTTTAATATATTATTTTTTATTCTATTATCTAATGGTTGATATGCAATAAGATTAATCTTGTGATTATGAATTACAAACATGCTTATAATTATAAAATTTATTTGATCAATTGGATTAATAAGTAAGAGATTACATAGTAAAATAAATTGCTACGTGTTGCATGTAGCAACACTTAGTTTGCTTAATAGTAGTGTTATTCTTAGTCTCTCACTAATCTGCCAGAGTTATTGTTGAACCTAAACATACAAAAGGATATTCTAATAATAAGTTATTATTCATGTACACTATATAATCTATAAACATGTTTATGTATTTATAAATTATAAACACTTTTCTAACTATAAACTTCCATTTTCTAAGTGAATTAATAAATAATGAATAGATGACTATTAAACAAACCAAACATGCTATATGTAATGGGCAGCAAATTATTTTTATTATGTTATAATTAACAACAAATAATATAAATACATTTGTATAAATAGCGATTTTTTTTCAATAATCATATGTTAGAACAAAGTTTGGTGACATAAAGAGTTTTAAGTATACATTTGACTAATGATTATATATTACATTTCACAATCAACTCTCTGAGAAATTATATAGTTGTATTTTTACAGAATAAACTAGAATATCTTAGGAAGCATTTAGATTTTTTTTTTATAAATTATAACTACAAAATTAATCTAAGTAAATAGCAACCATTAGGTAGTATAATATCCTAGAATATTCTAGGTATATTCACTTACATATATACATATATATGTATGTACATATGTATTTTTAAATTTTAAACTTTACATCATCCTTCCATCTTAAAGATGAGAAAGGATGATGATGATAAGTCAAGTGAAACATCTAGAGCTTTTGTTAGGAATTGTAGACTTCGACAAAATTTAAGCTTCCACAAAACTACAGATATAGTTGTTGACAACCATGACAAAAATAAGGCACAAATTTAGAATTATGGAATCTTAATCAATCAACTACAACCATATATAATTATTAAATACACAAACCAACCTCTTAATCTATAACTTTAAACCAAAACAAGGGTTTTGAGGGCAATTGTAATTTATAAAAATATTGTGGAAACAAAAAAGATAGTTTATCTCTATATCTTTCCTTTAATCAGCCCTTTAAGACCATACTTAACTCAGACTTATGACCATATATAAAATTTATTTCTATATCTTTCTACTGGCTAGCCTCCAAAACCATTATTAACTCTAACTCACTACTTTTATTCTTATCTAATATTATATATATGGGATTGCTATTGAAAAATAGAGACTATATTTTCACTAGTGCTATGCTATGTTTAAGTGCAGAATTTCACTTTGTTTGTCCATCATTTCTTTTTTATCCCCTTTTTGAAGGAAAAGAAGTTTTAAAACACTAACTTTGTTAGTCTTACTATTGTTGGTAATAAAATTATTGATAGGTTTTTTTTTATTTTCCTTTTTTAAGTATTAGTTTGGTATTGAAAATTTTGAACAGTATGAATATTTTGTTATTTTATTTTTGTTGAGTATTTTTTAACATGATATCATTTATTATCAAGCCTTTTTTGCATAGATTTGTTTTTTCATTCTTCATTTCTGCATTGACTACTATTGAAAATTCTCTTTTAGATCTTTTTTATCCCTTTTTGGTTTGCTTAAACAAATCTGTAGGGTGCATACCATTTTTTATCACAGTGGAAATTTGGACTCAATCATTCCATGAGAGAAGCAAAGTTCCAGAATGCTTCATTTTCATC